TTACCATTGTTTATTTAACGTCTGTGCATTACACTCTGCACGTAGAATGCAACGGAATTCCATGAACAGTTTTTAATGATTAAAATAACTCGTCTGTTTTTGGACGACTAAATATAATATTATGTAAAAGTAAGTTGAAATTAAACAAAATTAAAAAAAATTGGATTAGTGGTATGCGTTTGACACGTCATTCTGAGGTAACAACCACGTTCGTTAATTTATGGCTCACTGTCGTAGTTAAATTACAAAATTTTGCACTAGATTTTATACATTTTATCTTGCAATTTTTTTTATGTACATTAAGCATCATATTTATTCCATAATTTCTTATTGAGTTTGCTGGTCTTATTGAGATTTAAAATTACTCATTTTTTATTGTTTTTCTTTAGTAGTTTAGAAGTCGTACATTTTTTCTATAAACTGATGATCAATGAAATTAATTTTGTTATAAATCGAATGTATTATTTTAATATCAAAGTATATAGAATTTTTTTTCTATAAAAATATAACTAATATTTTGGTTTAAAAGGAGATTACGAATTCGTTAACCATTAATTACGAAATAAACAATAATTATAAAATATTATTATCTACACATATTGATATTACATATTAGTATATTACATATTATATAAATTTATTGCAGTAAAATGAAATTATTTACAATATTATATTATTATATTGTTAAAACGGCAAATCAATTTCAACACAAAAATAGTGTAAATGTTAATAACGAATAAGGTCGCATAATATATATACAATTACAAATATTGTATGTTACAATTTACAGTAGCACGGAAAAATATGTTTTTACTGTTTTTAGGTTTACAAAAATTATAATATGTTTCAACAAGCACACTTCTATAAATAGCAGTATGAGTAATATGTGTCTATAATACACTCGTATAGGATACTAATAAACGAATCGAGTGAAAAAAAATTCCTTCATTATTAACAGAAAACTTTAATATAGTTGTATCTTTATGTATAGTTAATCACTTACTAACATGCCTAATAATAATTATGTCACAAAAATTATCAAAAAATGTTCTATAAAAAATAAAAAATGCCAATTAAACTCAATAATGCCCTTTTATTTATCATTAATAAAATTTAACGTTTCCGTCGCCATTTTTATACTGCGGACTTTTTTGTCAGTATGAGAGATTTATTTTCCAACTAACTTTAGAATGACTTGGACGGAAAATTTAATCATAAAATAATCACATTAGCGGGAATCGAGAAAATTATTGGCGATTAAAGGAGGAGGGCTAACTACTTTTTAAAATACATATAACGATTTAACGAATTCAAACACTGTGCCGCAAAAGCAATTTTCCATTTTTTTATAATTAATTTTAAAAATATTCACAGTCGGTTGCTGTTGGTTCATATGGAACTTCAAGGAAACAATTTACTAAAATTACTATAGGAACATTTTATACAGTATTTATAAAGGAAAATAATAGTACAATTAATTATTTTTCTCTTGTTTTCTCGGGGCATTGAAAGACTATTGAAGAAGGGCTAAGTTCCAAGGATTGCTGTTAGGTTAGGCCCCGAATTATAGAAAATATTAAAACCGAAATTTAGAGAGCGGCGTCACGTCAGTGATCATAGATTCATAGGGGATGCGATAATAGAATTTACGCCGCAACACGTGAATTATCGGACGTAGACATTTCGCTGTGCACCGTAAACACAACGCGCCGGCAACCCAACTCCGTTCCCAGAAGTCTCACACGACGGCTGACTGTAGTAACAATCACGAGAAATAGATTTATTAATTGACGATTTATCGATATAGTATATATTATATTCCGAGTACTTGTCGAGCGTGCCACCACTATGGTTCACGATAAAAACTGTACTCAAAATAATTCCCGTGTCGACGGTGCCGCCGTAACGACAATTTTTTATTTTATCTTCCATCTCGTCATCAGACGATAGCAGTATTCATTGATTTTCGGCGTGCGACCGCCGTGGTGGTATCGTCCACTCTACGACGCACGCACGCACCGACACTAACGGACAGGCCCATTGCCCATATAATATAACATTTATATACATATATATATACATCAAGAACACGGAGGAGAGAAGTAGTGTGCGGCCCACAATGCTGCTCATCGACTCGTTTTCGGCGATTCGGCCGAACAACGTTCGTCAGCCTGCAAACCGTAGTTCCCCTAACTCGTCGCCACCGACGTCGTTCCAGCGAATTCTCTCTGCACACACACTCAAACTAAATACGACGCGTCGGCCAACGCTGCCGCCGTCGTCTCGCTCTCTCTTCCACCGTCATTCTTGTCGCCGCCGCCGCACCGTCCGTCCGTCCGTCCGAGGCGATTGGTCGTTACTCGTTGTACGCGCGGGCGGTGGGTCTCCGGCGGGTGGTGTTGAAATGGTGATCCGCACGGGTTGCCGGGCAACCGGTACGTCGGCGGCCAGCGAGCGCGTCGTACCACATCACGGCGACGACGCGAACGCGGGCACCGGAACGAGAACGAGGTCGACAACGAAATGTAGGCTTATCATCAGTTCCCGCTTTGTGCCGGCCGTTCAAATTGTCCGTTCCTCCTTGTTTGGAAACTCCGTGTAAGTATGTAAAAATCGCGTCCGCCGCCGTCGCCGCCGTTTGGGTTGTACAAACATTCTTTCCTCTCCATTTTATTTTTATTTCTATTTTTTTCTCCCCCCCCCCCCCCCCCCCCAAAAAATTCCGCTCCTTTTTATTTTTATTTCTATTTTTTCCCCCCCCCCCCCCTCCCCCCCAAAAAAATTCCGTTTATTTATTTTTCGTTTTATTTTTTTCCCACGTCCGTGCCCATTACCTCTCTGCTACCCGCCGTTACTAGCACCCTCTGTCCCTATACTCACGCCGCATTTGCCCACCCACATACCATACTGCCGTCTCGCCGTGTGTATGGCTCGCTCGGCGTAGGCGATTTCACACTGTGCGGTCGTTGGGGCAGTTATTGTAATAATAATAGTATATTATTTTCTAATAATATTACGTGTCGCCACGTTCATGCTGTATAATAATATTGTTATAAAATGATTAATATGGCGTGCCGGCAAACCGTCGTCCGGCTCGAACACGCAACACGAGCGTTCATCGTAAAGCTTTTTTTATCCGAACTACGATACGACCTAGTGGGTGGGTGGAATGTATGGAAGAGCGCCGAGCGAAAAACGTTTATTCGTCGCTCTGATTCTCGTCATTTGCGTTTTCATCTATTTCGTCTTTTTCTCAGTAGGGTCTCACGATTAGAATGTGAGATATTACAATCGTTATGAGTTTTCGAAAAATGTTCGGGTCTCCTCCTATCCGGTGGCGTATCATCGCTTTCTCTACTTTACGACCTGACGGTTAGGTCATGATTGGGTGGTGGTTTTTAGGATGTCGTCTCCCGTTTAGTGCTCATCCGGTTGGCCGGGTATCGCTTAATCGATCGTCTCGTTTCTCCAGGCTCGTGTGACTTGCTATAGGAATTTTCGTTTCTCTCGTTATCTTGATTTGGGCACCCCTAGAACGGCATTTTTATTTCAATTGACATTTTGCATTCCTAGTCCCGCGACAAAATACAATACAGATTGGACTTGGAAAAATTTTTTTAAAATAATACATCGTAATGTTGTCTTTTTATGTAACAATGCTCCCGTTTAAACTCTACAATTTTATGACCGCTTTTCCTTTTTTTTGTTATATAGTATTACCATCTCGAACATTTTGAATCCCAGACCCCAGCTACAGTTACATTTCAAGACATTTTTCATCGCCATTAAAGACGATAAAATCTTAGTCGTATTATCTATAATAGTAGTTAATAGTTATATATTATTATTCCAACAGAATCCCGATTTTTTAATGTGGTTGACCTCTCGTCCCATTAGTTAATTCAGCTGTTCAATAAATATTAGTACATGCAAAGTTGTACACATTGTTATTCATTATCACATATTATATTTATTCTGTTACATTATATAATTATTTCAACTGCCAATTTCTTGTCTAGGCTATATACTTTTTTTGATCTCAATATCATTTTTGACATATTTTTGGCATTCATTCTTAATGTTCTTTATTGATACGAATTTCGATTTAACTGATGTCGAATTATTGAATATTGATTAAGTATTATGGAGTAAAAAGTATTTATAGACGTTGTATTTACAATGTATATGCGCTGATCTTATACCTACGCATTAACTTATTTTTGGAATTAATTTTATTATACAAAAACAAAGTCACAAAAAACAAACATCATTAATTCTTAATTTACTAAAAATGTTTATATTATGTTTAAAATATAATACTTTTCATTAATATTACATTTTTAAAATAATAGATTTTGAAGTAATATTAAATTAATTAAAATTAAAATGACGAAGTTCGTCCTATAAAAATGTTATAAGTGTTATCCATTCTTGGAGTTGAATTTTTGGGTGGGATCTTACTATTGAATTTTTTTCATGAAATGCCCATCTGTACTTCACTGTTCACGAGTGTTTAAATAATGTTATCTAAATTATGGAAATTCGCTATTTATATATCAAACTACAAATATTTCCATTGAATATCAAAAAAAAAAGAATATAATTTATAAGAGTTTATTTAAAATCGAAATAATAATTGCTTATTTTCTTAATTAACTACTAATTAATAATTATTAATATAATTAATCTATTTATAATAAAAATTAATTTATTAAAAACTATTTCATTTCATCTATACAATTGTTTAACATTTTTAAAAATATAATATAATATATGATTTTGTCTTAAAAAAATATGAACATAAAATTGATAAAATTGCTAGAACTATTTATTATTTTTATTTCATTCAAACTTAATGAATTAATTAAACAAAAAAGTAAATTATTATTTTACGAGTATAATGAGTATTGGAATATTTTTAAACTTAACCAAATTACAAAATGTTGCTCATATAAAGTGTTAATAGGTTATTATTTTTTGTGTTCAATTGCACCTATTAAAGTCTATAGTCACTTATGTTATTGTAAATATAAACAATATAGACTATGTGTATTGTCAATTTAAAAATTTAGTTTTGAATATTTCAGAAGTACAATGACAGTTAATGGCCAGCACTACTGTCTGCGATGGAACAATTACCAATCAAATATGACCTCTGTGTTTCATCAACTTCTTCGAAATGAATCATTTGTTGATGTTACTCTTGCTTGTAATGAGAGTACACTTAAAGCACACAAAGTATATGACTAAATAAATATGAATTTTTTTATTTTTTTTTTATTTTATGCATTTTTTATTTATAAACATTGATATTGTGTAATAGGTGGTCTTATCAGCTTGTTCGTCCTATTTCCAAAAATTATTGATGGATAACCCATGTAAACATCCAACCATTATATTGCCTTATGATGTTTGTTTTAATGACCTTAAGTTCATCATAGAGTTTGTGTATAGGGGCGAGATTGATGTATCTCAAGCTGAATTACAAGTAAGTCTAAAAGCTATGTGTAAAAGCAGAAAGCTCATTATAAAATTAATTGTATTTTTAGTCTCTTCTAAAAACAGCAGACCAGTTAAAGATTAAAGGACTATGTGAAGTGCCTGAAGATGAACGTGATACATCTATTGTTGCCGAAGTAACTCCTTTGGGGCCATTAAAAAGTGGTGGAAGAGTGTTCACAAAATTACAACGCAGAACTTCTCCTTATTCAAAAAAATTGAGCCCTAATCAAATTCAACAGGATCAGTTTAATCGAAGTTATTATCGAATTGAACAATCAGGTTTTGCACCTATTAGTGTTGATCAAGAAAACAAATCTATAAATGTAAATATTAAATACTCAATATGAAACAAATAATAATTTGTTAATCATTGTTGTTGAGTTTTACTTAGTTATTTTCTTTCTAGGCCATCCATTGCATGACTGTAGCAACATCAACTGAAGATGATGAGAAAGAAATGAAGTCAACATTAACAGATTTACCGGTGGTTATATTAGAACCACATCCTTCATTAAATTTACAAGCCCAACAACAGTCCCAGATAGTTCACATACCAATACCACCATCACAACAACAACAACAACAACAACAACAACAACAACAACAACAACAACTAAGTCATGTAACACAACATACAAATCAACCTCAATTGCAACAAGCTGCAGTTCAAACTCATTCACAAGTAAAATATTAATTTATATTTTATCTTATAAATTTTTTTTATTTTATGATGTTTTCAGATGATTATTACAACAGGTCCAGTTATGACGGTGAATGAAGCTGACATTTCACCTGATATACAGCCTGTTGGACCAAGGGCAACACCAGTACCAGTAAAAAATAACACAAGTCCCTCATCAACACCTACACATAGAGATATGGCTGGTAATAGGTTTAAAAAATAACTCAATACCTATTTTAATTAAAACATTAAAAATAGTTCCATTGTTTAAATATTTTAGAAGTTATTAAAATAATCATATAGCAAGGTTACTACACATATGAGCTCCCATAAGCATAGTATAAGTACTAATAGTAGCATTTTAAAATTTGAAATAATACCACTTTCAACACCTTGGGTCATCATCCGTACATTAATTAAATCCCAATCAATGAAATTGAGTGGTTATAGGATTAACTGTGGATTTTAACTTCTAATCCAATGAAAATGTTACAGATTTCTACAAGGGGGAATGGGAAGGGAGAAAACTGTGCCTTACTGTATAATAATAATTTAATTTTTGTTCAATTAAAGTAAAAATTTCAAGTATAACACTAAATTCCTTTCCTCAACTCTATCATGTTTGTGTGAACTGTTATGAAGTTTATCATTGTTTTAAAATACAAATTCATTTTGAGTTTGTACAAAACTAAGGTTTTCTTTTTCTACATTTACACACAATATTAAAATTAAAGTATTGTATTCATTGAAAATTATTTTCCTTATTTTATATCAAATAGTAATAGCCAATAGGTGTAATTTTATGATTTTCCTTGGCAATAGTTTATTTGATTTTATAATCAGGGATGCCGGTGTATTTTGACACACCTATGACAATTTTATTTTGAGTCAATATATCCATCCACTAACAAAAATATTTCTTTTCAAAAAAATATAGAGCAGCGATTCCTTAACTGTACACAACATGTACATTCAGGGGCCTCACTGCATATATATACCATTTACAAGTTTAATATTTTAAATATTTAATAATACCTAAACATATTATTATCTTCTTAATCAAGTCTAACATTTTGTGTAAATGTTAATAACTTTTTATTATACGTAAACCATAAAAATGACAACTACCATAGGCAAAACCAACTTTTAACGCCTCTCATTACAATTGAGATTTTTTAGATTTGTTTTATTGCATGTTTTATTCTAAGGAAAAAAAGATAATTTAATTTATATCAAATCACAGCACAGAAATTTCCGATCTATGTAATATTTTGTAATTTAATTTTAGGGTTGAATTTTAAAAATAAACTTAAAAAATATAATTTTTTATTGTATTTTGTTTGTTGTTACTATTTTTAAACATTAATTAATGTTAATTATCATTATTCATATTTAAAGCATTTAACACATAACTAAAAAAATTGATATACTTTATATTGTTTCAAATGTCAGTGATTTATTTTTATTTTAGTTGGTACATCATGTTCAAATGATATGATGAGAAGTGGTGGAAGTGAGAGAAAATTTGAAAGTACTAAATTTGAAACACTTCGTACTATTGATCAGTCATCAGATGCAATGGGAATAGAAAGACAACATTCTAATGACCGTGTAATAATAATTTATGATATACTATATTATAATACATCAACTATTTCATTTACGATATTAATAAAACTTATATTTATAGAATATAAATGATGAAGATAATTCAATGCATACAATGATGATAACACCTGAACTTTTGGGATTGTTACCAAATTCTTCTAATACAGGAGGTACTTGCATTTAAATATATTTTATACTGCAGTTTTATTTCTTTGTTGATCAGTTATATTTATTTATTATTATTAAATTGCAGATGTCAGTGAAGATAGTTCTAGTAACAATATTAACAAACAATATGGTACAAATAGCGGAAAAGCATGGACAGCTGATGACATGGAAAACGCCTTAGAAGCATTACGTTCACATAATATGTCTTTAACCAAAGCATCCATTACATTTGGGATTCCTTCTACAACATTATGGCAGCGGGCTCATCGAGCTGGTATAGATACTCCTAAAAAAGATGGACCTGCTAAGTCTTGGAATGATGAAGCTTTAAACATTGCATTAGATGCTCTACGCACTGGCACTATTTCGGCAAATAAAGCCAGTAAAGCATATGGTATACCTAGCAGTACGTTATATAAGATTGCGCGGCGGGAAGGAATTAGATTAGCTGCTCCATTCAATGCGGCACCAACTTCTTGGGGTCAAGAACAGTTGGGCCAGGCATTGCATGCCATAAGAACTGGGCAAACGACTGTACAACGAGCTGCAGCCGACTACGGTATACCTTCTGGTACATTATATGGTCGATGTAAACGTGAGAAAATTGAATTGTCTCGTAGCAATCCAACTCCGTGGTCTGAGGATGCTATGATGGAAGCTCTGGAGTCTGTGCGATTAGGTCATATGAGTATTAATCAGGCAGCTATACATTATAATCTACCATATTCTTCATTATACGGACGTTTCAAAAGGGTGAAATATGGAGCTGGACATCCAGATGATGATTGTGATGATATGATTGATTCAGATACACAAAGCGAACAACAGCACATTCAACAACAACAACAACAACAACAGCAACAGGCAAATCAGCAAGTACAGGCTACTCCAGTGTCCCAAATAATGTTGGTTCAATATCCAGCACCACAGATTCAAATGTACCAACAACACCCGACTCATTCAACCACTAGTTGAGATGAAGTAAAATACTTGCAGCCATTGTGATGTGTTAGAACTGCAAGTATTCTCTGTAATAATTTATAAGTCTGACGGTTGTACTGTTTTTTTTTTTTTATTTATCTGTGATATTTAAACAGTGAAAACATTAATGTTATTTGATGTTTTCATTTGATCTCTTCATATTTGTTGTAGGTTTTAATGTAAATATTCATATTAAATTTACAAATATGATAATACTATATCAGTACATTTTAGTTTTTGTATTGTATGTATTTTACATTACAATATAGTGAACATAATATATAATAAAATAATAATCCAACATTTTAAGACTATGTGAAATAAATTGTTTTTAATACTTAGTTCAGAGAAAAATTTTTTTTAAATTTTTGTTAAACTAGATGAATTAGTTATTATAAGAATAATATATTACATACTATTCTATCTATAGGCGTGTGCATAATTTGATTTTAATAACAAATCATTTTGTATGATAAAAAAAAAATTCTGTAAACTATGGTTACCAAACAATTATTTACTATTACTACAATTATTAATTATATAGGTTTAATATTCTACTAGAAACTTTTCAAATTTGGTGATCAAATCATTTTTCTACTAGAATCTACTAGAAAAAACACAAAACTGTGAAAAATAAATTGTAAAATCAATATGAAAAATCAAATTGAGACATTTTAAAATATAAAGTGATTTATTTTTTATTTGGTAGGTTAAAATGCAATGCAAAACAATTGGAAAATTATTATTTATTGCTATAGATTTTAATAGAAATAAAATTAATCTTAGTTTTGAAAATTTGATATAATTTTATTAATTAATAATGTATAAGGTTTACTTTAAAAAAAATGAATGGTCATGGGATTGAATTGTGCCTCATCTTACTTCTCTAATTTATTTTTGTTAAAGAAAATGTATTAATACTTTTTGAAATATTTTACAGTTTTTATCTAAATTTTTTAATTTTAATACTTTTTAAAGTATCTTAACATTGGTTTTTGTTAAAATAACTTCAGTTCAAAATATTTAGAACTAAGATTTAAATATTCTTTGAAACCTTATAGTTAAGTATTATTTTGTATGGACTGTTATGAAGTCGAAACTTCCTAGTCTAATAAAATATAGAATTAAGAATTCTGGTCTGTTGATTTAGGTACAAAATAATTTATAAATAAATTTTTACCAAGTTTGTAAAACTTTGTTACCACAATAGGCACATTGCACTGCATTGCAGAAATCTGGTAAATAAATTTTTAAGTACATACTTAATTTACTAATGATAAAAGTACATAATTTAGTTAGCTTATACTTAAATCATGATCAAGTTAGGTTTGATAAGTATAGCTATAAATTATAATAGCATTTATCAATTTGTTATATTTTATTTATTATGTAATTTAATTTTGTTTTAATTCCTATTCTATGGCTTATAGATTTAGTTATACTCAGTCATTTAATACTTAATTATTCAAGCTATGCGATTGTCTAAAAAATTAGTACTCTAGTCTACATTGGTACGAATTTGAGTTAAAGATTTACTTTAGACTAAGGCATAGAATATAGAGGTATTAAGTACCTAAGAATAATGAAAATTAATTATCCAAATCATTGTTATTCAATCAGTGTGTTGCCCAAGCCGGTAAGTTCAAATTTGTCACGAAGTATATAAATGACAAAATGTAGGTACAAACATTTTTGACTTTACAAAAATCGATATTTGATATAGTTATTTATTTATATGATGCTTAAAGATAAGTTGACTGTTATTATAGACATGTATTATTATTTTTTAATGTTATTTTTAATTTTACATTATTTATTAAAATTATCATTATTCTGTTTTTTTTTTTTACTGTGTCAAAAAGTACCTATAAAATATTTTAATATTTGTCGCCATAATACAAGTGTTGAGAATCACTGATCTAGATAATCTAAATAGAACTTTGATGGAAAATTGTATATATTGACAATAATAATATATTGGAATTACGATTCATGAAATTTTGTAGGTAATGAAAGATACCTATTTTTTTTAAGCGATTAGCTCATGCTTATATTTATTGACAGACTCTGTATAAAATCAGGGAAATAGTTCTGATAACAAATATTTAATAGTTTTAATGTTTCAAAATATAATCCCAGGAAATAATATTTTTGAGATTAATTGAATAGTACTATTGATTATATATTTAAATGTAAAAACACTAAAAAGTAAAAACTATTTATAAATACTAGTAGTATTTATAATCAATGGTAGTAGGTACTCTTGAGTTATGAAAAATAAACTGTTAGAAAATATACTTAGGTATATTCAATTTCCGTTTTTCGTGTTTTTGATTTTATGTAGATGATATAAATGTGATAACTTAAACATTTTTGAGTGATAACATTTCTCGTGGTGGTTCGATTTTGCTAATAGATAATAGGTATTAGACTTATTAGTTATTAGTATACATTCACCATTCACTCGATAATCAAGTAACAAGATGACGTGTTACGTATTTACTATTTAGTGAGATTTCACGTTAGGCAGTCGTTGGAATGTTGGATATTTGTAATTTTTATATTATTAAATTTTTCAAGCAATTTTTATAAGTATAAGGTCTATGATTTTTACAGTGGTGCGAGCGGTATCCTTTTTTTATCATATTTTGTAGAGTTAACACTATCTTTTGTAGGAGTTAACACTATGTTTATGTAGGAGATTACATTTCATTTATTGGAGTTTACCACTTCCCGTAACTTTTCCCAAATTTCCTTGTACATGATGGATACGATTCGTCGTGAAGTAGTCATTTGCAAAGACGTATTGCAGGTAATATTAACCTTATTTTGAAAACTAAAATATTAAAATACTGAAATTGTTTAAATCAACTTAATTTGAAAATCGTGTTATTTTTAATAGTCAATAACATTTTAAATTTTATCTAGGGCCTAGAGAAAATTGGCTTATCAAAAATCAACGCATTTGTCCTATTAGGGGTTAGCATTGATGTGGAAAATGTATTCAAAACCTATATAATTGGTTTTGTGGACTCGTTTTTCAACGTAGATGACAACTGTCCTCACAATTTGAATACCTGTGGTTTGGCAGGAAATGCTGATCTAATTGAAAATGTCCAGGAATATTTGGATAATGTACATACATGTATTTCTTAAATTGAAATCCATTATTAATTATTGCTAATTATTAAAATTTTAATTTCATTTTTAGGATCAATTTAATGAAAATTATTCACTTTATTTGAACATAGTCGGTTCACAAATAAATCTTTGGGAGTTAAAAAAAATTGATGATGCTATTCAATCTGAAAAACTCGAGTTTCAAGTTCTAACAAAAAAAGAATTAAGCAATAATTTATTATATTTTAGAACTTGTATGAAATTAGAACTTGACAGAAGAATTAATGATTGTGACTCTTTATATACTGCAAGTTTGTTAGAAAAAAAGGTGTGTTTATAAATACTGAGATTACTTTAATAATAAATTATCTAAGAAATCAATAATAAAAAAAAATTTATAATATTGAATGGTGATAGAATATGTTTTTGGAAAGTGATTTTAATCACAATATTGATATAACTAATAAAATAAGTTTCTAAATTCTAAATTATTATATTTATATCAAGAAGAGTAACTGTGATAGTCAAAACAGTATAAGATACAACTTGTGTTTTTTTGATATTTTATTAATTTTAAATTAAATATGAAATTCTTAATACCTTACTAATTTTAATGTATACCGTAATTATAAGTTTAAAATGTTTTATTTGTTTTAGATTGGTTTAAAACCTCTTTTTTATATTAAAGAAAATAAACAGTATTTTGGAAAATTAGAAGAAAACAAAACTATTGATGGAATAAAAGTAATAACAAATGAGTTGGATTATGAAGTTTTAAATATAATTGTGTATCAAAATTTATCAAATGTACCAACTGAAAACACAGATATATCTGATTTTCCTATAATTCATCAAACAAATGGTACAATTTAAATTAAACATATTTAAATCCAATGGAAAATTATGAGTTAAATATGAATTGTTTGTTGTTGTTTTTTAGAACCTTTTGATGAAGAACTTGTTTGTTGTCAGCTAGATACTTTATGCGTGGTTCCTAAAAGAGCCACATATACACAGGCATACAATTTGATTTATGGTAGTATACTCAAGAATGTTCAATTAATTCAATCATTTTTGGTTTCAAATCCCAAAGATCTCCCTGTTGTTCATCATTTCTTGCCTGATGCATTATGCCATTTCATAACAATCGTTTGTTCACACAATCAGATAGATTCGTTTAGTATGTATATTATTAATACATTAAGAGTACTAAGATATGTATGCAAGGGCGCCCATTGGGGGGGGGGGGCAGGACAAGGCACTTGCCCCCCCCCCTGGAAAAAATATTACCACAATATTACCTTATTACCGAGGCAAATTATTTGTTGAAATCACTTTTAAGATATGAAATAAATATAAAAATATACTCATTGTTATCGTATATTAACATCATAGATAGATCGTATTCTGTAGTCTGTATAACCTATACGTAAAATAATTTATCGCAGATAATTAGTGGTAAATCTGTAAAGATCACAATATAGGCACAATATTTTAACCTAATGCAAACAAGGATACTTTCATTCAGGATGTCATTAATATGTTTGGAATAAAACGAAGAAATTGACAGTTCTTATTTACTGATACCGAATAATATACTTAATTATATTATTTAATTTCTATTTTTTTATATACTTATTAAAATTATTATTTATTTATTTATTTATTTATTCATATGACAATTATTATATATTTATTTATTTATTCGTATGGCAATTATTATATTAATACACTATATATATATATATAAATAAAAATATAACATGCATGTATAGTGTATACATTTATATGTGAAAAATAACATTAAATCTTTATTATCTTACATTCGAAAATTTTTTTATTTTGACCCCCCCCTAAAATATTACCTATGGGCGCCCATGTATGTATGTTATTACAAGCAGTTCATTATTATTTTATTACTAATGGTATTTTATACAATAGTCAATTGGAAAAATATAAAGAAGTGTAAAAATAGTGCATTTTAGTGTTGACCAGTTATTGCTCGACCAAAAATGTGTTATTGATAATTGCTTTTATTTAAAATTAGACTACAGTAGTCTACAGTTTTTTAAACAAATTAACTTACTTAGGTTTTTATTG